TTTGCTCTGTTTTATTTTGTGAAACCTTACTACGTATATGGAATAACCGTTTTATAAAAGCAATAAGCCCCGTGAAGCCGTGGTTTACAGTGAATTTATAATAGCTAACTCCGCTTCACATCGTACCTAACAACGCCCCTTAGCTGCTATAAATTCACTGTAAACCACGGCTTCACAGGGCTTATTGCTTTAATAAAATAGAATATTAAATTGTCAAAGTTTTATGAATTTTATTAGACGTGAGTTTTGAAAACGCATAAATATTATGAATTGAAAAATGTTTTTTTAATGAATTATAAAAAAGTACTTTTACTTTTGTTAAATTAAACCTCAACCTAATTTAGAAAGGTTAACACAGAAGCACAGAGAAAATAAAAGGGATTTCACAGGAGCCTGGTGTGTGTGTTGTTACCCGTGTCAGGGCTGCTGGACAGTGGAGACAGGGGTCGGTACGGAGGTGAGGGTGTGTCCTGTGTGTGTTCCTGCGTCTGAGAGTGTGTGTGTAACTCCTCCAGACAGCGCGCTAGACATGTGTGTCCACGGGAATGTGCCACGGCCAGAGGCAGACGACCCAGAGAGTCCGGGATTCCCAGAGCCGCGCTGCTCCAGCGGTACAACAACACAGCTGCGGCCTGATGACCCAGAGCACACGCCCACATCTGAACACACACACACAGACACACACACACATACGGGTCAGAACCACGAAAACATGACGCAGCACAACTGTTTTCAACATGGATAATAATCAGAAATGTTTCTTGAGCAGCAAATCAGCATATTAGAATAGCAATGCATATTACTAATCAAAAATTAAGTTTTGATATATTTACGGTAGGAGATTTACAAAATATCTTCATGGAACATGATCTTGTCACGTGTATGTTTCTGTTCTCCCTGCCTTGACCTAGTTTTCCTTTGTTGCTTGATTAGTTCATTAGTTTCCACCTGTGTTCATTAATTATCTTATTAGTACATCGTTTGGTTTAGTATTTATAGCCCTGCCTTTCCTCAGTTTGTTTGTCCTGTCTCCGTCGTTTAAAATGTGGTTGTATTCTCCATTTCTCCCACATGGATTTATTAAAGACTCTGTTCGTTTGACTATCTGCCTCCTTCATACTCCTTCGAGCTTCTTTCCCCAGCAACCCGTGATAGAAGACAGGACCAACGAAAAGGATGGACTGGGCTGAGGACGTTCTTCTAAACATCCAGCAGGATGGAAGGCCTTTGGAGCGATATGTGGAGGAGTTCCTGAGTGTCTTCCATCTGGTGAGCTGGAGTGATCATATGCTTAATGTGTGCTTCTGGATGGGACTGGATGATGATAATTTATTCAGATTCCTGTCTCCAGATGATTGTTATAGACCCGTAGCAGACTTTATGAATTTTGTTCTCGATTTCAATTGCTCAAATTTCTTTGTTGAAGTAAATAACTGTTCAGTACCTATCCGGAGGCATGTTGGCACTCCAGTTCACCATAAACCAACACCCTCCACATACCGCTCCAATGAGCCCGCTCCCTCCGGTCCACCCCTGCTTTCCCGAGCCAGTCCAAGATCCATTCCAGCCCTCAGCCCAGAAAAAGAGGCACCAGCACTCCCTCTAGAGTCCACTCCAGCATACCTCTCAGCACTCCTGGGCATATGCCCGTGGCCGAGCCGGCAAAGGTTAAGGAGGATCCGCCATGGCCTCCTGAGTCCGCTGATCCGCCATGGCCTCCTGAGTCCCCTGATCCGCCATGGCCTCCTGAGTCCCCTGCTCTGCCATGGCCTCCTGGACTGCATGCTCCGCCATGGCCCCCCCCGGTGTAACTGTTACGGCGCGGGATGAAAAATGAATAATTTGAATAATAGAAAAATGGATAATTTTGACCCATACAATGTATTGTTGGCTATTGCTACAAATATACCCGTGCTACTTATGACTGCTTTTGTGCTCCAGGGTCACAAATGTACGTGCTTAAGAATCTACATTTATATAATATATGACAAAATATAAGAAATAGAGGTAACATTTTACAATAAGTTTTCCATTTGTTAGCACTGCATTAATAACATGAATTAACAATGAAAAACACATCTAAAGAATGTATTAATCTTAATGTTAGTTTCAACATTTATCAATACATTATGAAAATCAAAAGTTGTATCTGTTAATATTATTTATTGGACCTGAGCGAACATGAACTAACAATCAACATTTGCATTTTTATTAACAAAGATGAAAACATACCGTAACAAATATATAACAATGCAAAAATTTTTTTATTTTTTAGTATTTTTGTCTTGTTTTCTAGTATAAATATCTAAAAATTCTTGAATCAGGATGCATTTACTTGACAAGCAAAATGACTTAAGATATTTTTTCTTGTTTTCTAAAAATATTATCCAAATTTTGTTAGTTTTTGCTCAAAACAAGTAAAAATATCTGCCAATGGGTTAAGAAAAATAATCTTAATTCAAAGGCTAAACCAGATTATTGTTTTTAGAAACAAGAAAACAAGACAAAAATACTAAGGAAGAAAATACATTTTTTTGCAGTGTATTGCTCATTGTGGGTTAGCATTAGTTAACGCTTCAACTAATGTTAACTAATGGGTCCTTATTTTAAAGAGTTACTGAAATGTTTAAAATTTAGATTTTAAATTTAAGTGCACCCTAAAAACAAAAATAAAAACAAATTCCTTTTGTTCGAACTGAACTGGGTAAGAAGGCTTTTATGTTTGCAGCTCCATCTGATTGGAATCTTCTTCAATTGAAACTGAAATTACAAAATTTGCTGTCTTTGGATTATTTTAAAATAATTATTCGGCAAATGGAAGATGACTCGATGATATGTAATTGCTTTAAGTGTTCTTAGTTTGTCTTTGTTTTGTAAATTTCGTGATTCTGCTGTCCATTTTGGCCAGGACCAGAGAGTCTTTCCTGGTTAAATAAAGGTTTAATAAACAACAACTTTCACTCAAAAACTGCTAGTAAATTTCACAACTATTTACAAAGAAATGACAAGTAACACATTGAGTTAAATGTGAAATTTCAGAGTAGAAAGACTGAAATAGATTTTTCTTGTAAATCATACTCCTCTAATCTTTGATTTATTTACAACTTAGAAAAATATTTTTTTTCAATATAGATTTAATTTAGTCTCAATTTAGTTTAAATGTAGTTGATCGTGTCACACTGTGAGTGATGCCAAATACATTAATGAATAATTAAAAAACAGCTGAGAAAATGTGTTACCTCCAGCGTATGAGTGTGTATGAGCTGTGTGTGTGAGTGAGTGAGTGAGTGAGTGAGTGTGAGTGCGTGCGTGCGTGCGTGCGAGCGAGCGAGCGAGCGAGCGAGCGAGCGAGTGAGTGAGTGTTGTGTGAGAGAGAGTGTGTGTTACCTCCAGCGTATGAGTGTGTGTATGAGCTGTGTGTATCCCTGAGCGGCGGCGAGGTGTAGTAGCGTCATCCCTCGGTGTCTGATGGAGTGTGTGAGTCTGTCTGTCTCACCGCCTCGTTCCCAGCGACCGCCGGCCATCATGCGCTCGCACACGGCCACGATCCTGCGCTCGAACCACAGCCCCGACTGACACACACACACACATCATCAACACATTTACACACCTCCTCACATCTACTAGAGAGAAATCATCGTTCATTTGACACTGTTCTTAGCTTTAGATCACACACAATCACCAATCCTGTAGTCAGCATTTATATCATTATGTCACTAGATACACAGAAGAACTTCCTTGAATTAAATCTTAACATGTTCAGAATTCGGATTCAGAGTGAATTAAATCTAGGTTTTATTGGCTGAGTTTGAGTCAATGCATCAGATGTGAAGCTGCTGTCAAACTGGATCTTACATTTGTTTTTAATCCAGTCAAACTAGTCTTTTTAAAGAAACATTGGTAGCACTTTATTTTACAGTCCTTGTACATACTATGTACTTATTGTAGTAATTACAATAACTAGGTAATAACTAAGTGCTAACCCTGAACCTACCCCATGTAGTTACCTTATATTACCAGTACTTTATTAGGTAAGTACACTGTAAGTACATGCAAGTACTCGTTCTGTAAAATAAAGTCCAACCGAAACATTACCAAACCATACTAACAAGAAGCTGATAGCTACAGGGAAACTATTCAAAGAGGTAGTATCTTTGAAATACTGTATATGTCTATAAATATTTTTAAACATAACAGATTATGATGTTTATTTTTACTTGCACAGCAGCAGAAAGTGTTGTGAAAGTCTAAATAAATAAAACCGACAAAAACTGGATCTCGTTTAGAGAGATGCGGTTAAATTTGAAACTATAGGCAAATATTGTTTTTAAGAACTGGTCAATTTTGAGATTTTGGGATATTTGGCTTTTCATGAAATATTGAATTAACTACTAATGACTAGAGACTAGTGGAAAGAAAACATCCTAAATACACTTTGAAGTGTTTATTTTATTGCGCTTCATCTATTTGCACCTGCAGATTTCAATTCCAATCCATATCTTCAAAAGTTTTTTCTCCACTTCAGCAGCACTTACAAACACCAAAACTTAGAGTTTTATTCCTCTCTATATTCTGGAGGTTTTTACTGAGGGGTTTGTTCATATCTCATTCACTCTTATTTATATAAAATTTTATTCCTATAAACATGGTGAAAATGCATATATTTAAAGTCTGTGAGTTTTTTCTCCACTTCAGCAGCACTTACAAACACCAAAACTTAGAGTTTTATTCCTCTCTATATTCTGGAGGTTTTTACTGAGGGGTTTGTTCATATTTAATTCATACTGACTTATACAACATTTTATTTTAAAAACACGGTAAAATTAATTTTTCTGATTTATGGGGTGATAAAAATAATAAATTCCAAATCCCCTTTAACACTAATACGTCAACAAAATCAAATAAGAATTTTGAATCTGGATTCAGATTTCTGTTCTGGAAATATATGCAAATTAGTGCATGTTTTTTGTAGACAATTCTTCATTTGCACATTTAAACATAACATTTCTAAAAAAAAAACTAGTAATACAAAAAAATGTTTGCTGTTCTTAATCAACCAACTGGAAAAGTATGCTGATATTTATTAGTTCAATTTATTATTGTCTTGCCTTAAGTAGATCAATTTACACTAAATACAACAAACAAAACATACTTTATATAGTAGAACAGAAAAGAGTGACACTAACTATAAAAGACACTTGATTCAGCACAGAGATCAAGTGAATTGTTTTGAACTGTTCATTCAAGACAATGGCCTAAACGAATCGTTACGCAATAAAATGCAACCAAAACATCAAGTGAATGCAAAAATTATTTGCTACTGAAAAAGACGCTCAATTTCAAAGAGCTAGTTTCAAAAGTTTCTAAAAAAAACTCTCCTGCATCTGAAACAGGTTTAGATTAACCAGTAACAGCAATTCTTTTAGTTGGTTAGACTGGTTTAGCTAGTTAATCTAAAAAGAATTAATTAATGTAGACATAGTTAAATGTAGATGTAGATAAGAGGAGGTAGTAACATGACTACTTTTAGTTAGTTACTCCTCAACACACACACCCTCCCTCCGTTTTTTCCCTCCTGTCTGTCTGTCTGTTTCGGTCTCTCCGTCTGTCATCGTGCTGTATTGACGTAAGAGTGGAAAAGCTAAAAATTAATGACATGAATCAGCTGGATGATTCTCACGAACGAGACGAGGTGTTTGAACTAAAGCAACTCAAACTATCAGCACTAAACCTGAAGACTAGTTCAGAAACTACAGCAATTTACCATGAGAATCAGATGAGGAAAACCTGAACAATAATGTGTGTGTTTGTGGGGGGTACACCAACATGGAAAAAGCGCTATTAATACATGCATACTGAAGTGATGTCACTGGCAAAGTTTGCATTCTGCCGGTAACCCTGATAACACACGTTCATAAATCCAGCACTCATCAACACACTCCACATCCTCCAGCACTCTATCGCTCACACACGCACACACACACACACACACACACACACACAAGGTGTCGACATGACCTTCTGGTGAATGTTCTGGCAAGTAGATAAAGTCAAGAGCAGGGTGGGAAATTATTGTGGTTAACCAGTCACAGGGGCAGATGGGTAAGAAAAATCACTCCAATCAGAGGAAGCGTCATCGACAAGATTCTAAATGTTTAAAAATCTAGTTGAAATAATCACTACATTTCCACACTAAAGAATGAAACTATTTTCATTTATATTTACACTGTAATATTTACTTACAGATATTTCACTAAAACATTTTATACATACTTTATGCAATGATGCAAAAAATGTTTTGATTCAATTAATTGTTCAATTCAATTCATTCATGTCAAATGCACAGTGAATCAAACTCCAACAGCAGTTAATGGACAGGACTGGGATGTGTCTGTGTGCATCTAATGAATATATTTATTAATCGACTCTTGCAAAAATAAATTTTTTCACTTGCGCTAGTAATCTTGGGTTCATGGGTTCGATTCCCAGGGAATGCATAAAGTAATAAAAATGTATATCTTGAATACAATTCAAGCTGCTTTAAATAAAAGCTTGTACTGAAGGGCATAAATGTAAATACAGTATGAGAGTTGCCAATAATGACTGAAATCAAAATACATTTAGTTGAGATGCATAATGACATGAGTTTATGATTAAAACAAGAACAAATATCTGCATATGATCTGGTCTTGTTTTAAGCATAAACTCACTTCATTTTTATTTATAATAGTTTTTGTTGATATTCTGAATTAGATTTTGTTTTTATATTTCTGCTTTTATGTGGACTGATATAAACCCGTGAACTCGTACAGGAGATGAAATCGCATCAGAGGTGAAGGTCAGAAACAGATCTTGCTGTGTGTTCGTACCTGGTTTTCAGGAGTCAAGTGTGGAGCGGAGCTCTGGTTCCTCGAAAGCTGCTGATGATAGTGATTCATGTGTTGATTCTGCTGATTGTTATTTGACATTTCTGCCATTCGCCGCTCCATCTGCTCCAAACGCTCCAGAATCGACATCCTGAACTGGTTATCTAGAGAGAACGAGAGACGGTCAACATTAAAGAACCTGATTCACTGCCGTAATGTGATGCAAAATGAGGACCTCAGATGATGCCAACCCTGAAACAACATACAGAACTACCACATTTTGCTACAAGTTTGATTGCATCATATAATAATTGCTGTTAATAGTGTTCATCGTCTGCTTGATTACGTCTTTAATTGATTTTTCCGTACATTTCTGCCATATGTACATTGACTGACAGCACTGATAAGCTACCACTAAATATTGTAGAAACTTAATTTGCTGTAAAGTTGCTTTGCAACGATTTGTATCGTGAAAAGCGCTATACAAATAAACTTGAATTGAATTGAATTCTGAAAAAAGAAGAATTGCACGAGAAAAAAAGAAACACTGGGGGAAAAAACTGGTGTAAAAAAAAAAATTCTCACTCATAAAATGCTAGTAAATCTCACAAACAATTACCAAGAAAAAGCAAGTAACAGTGAATTAAATAGAATTTTCAAGTAGAAAGACTGAAATAGTATTATCTTGTAAAACATACTCTAATAATGTTGTTGTGTTTTCGTCATTTTTAATGTCTACATAGTTTTTATTAAGCTTTAGTTTAATTAGTTTTACTTGTTTTAGTACTTCAACTTGAAATGAAAATGAGAAATGTTGCCTTGGCCACTAACAAAATTTTTTTTAAAGGGGTCATATGATGCGATTTCAAGTTTTCCTTTCTCTTTGGAGTGTTACAAAGCTGTTCGTGAATAGATAAGATCCCTGAAGCTGCAAAGCCTAAAGTCTCAAAACCAAAGAGATATTCTTTATCAAAGTTAAGACTCTGCCACGCCCCCCTAAAACGGCTCATCATGTGTGTGTGTGTGTGCGCGCGCACGCGCGTGTGTGTGAGAGAGAGAGAGAGAGACAGAGTCACATCACAGTAGAGTCATCTGTCTTAACCGCGGCTTGTGTACTGCATCAT